TCCGTCGAGGTTCCCCACGCGCGGGCGCTCTTCTCCCCGAGATACCTGCGATATATAGTTCCAGGTCTGCAGATAACTATCGGACAGTGACAGATGAACGGCCGTGCTTTCCACCTCTGGATTCGAGCATGACTTTCGCGGTAAGGGATGATCGGTAGGTGAAGAAAGGAGACGGGAGTAAGAAAGAAGAGGCGAGAGGAGGAAGAAGAGGTAGAGGAAAGGTTGAAAGGAGTAACGAGAGAAGAAGGAGAAGCGAGCGAGGAACAAAAGCGAGGAAAAGAGGAAGAAAAGAGAGGGAGGGAAAGGTGGAGAAGCAGTGGAACAGGTAAAACAAAAAGTCGGGAAAAAATTGAAAACCAGTCTCAGTCGGTTGGTAGTTCGGAGTCTAACAGACTGCGGGAGCGGACTCGCTCTCTTCTCCTTTTCCACCACCATCGCTATCAGCAACCACCACCACCAGCGTGTTCGGCAACGACTTACGGTAACAACGGCAGCGGCTGCAGCACCACCACCACTACCAACTCGCTTGGCTACCATCGCCAACACCTCCTTTTCCTCCTCCTCCTCCTACACCTCTTTAGTCCTTCCTTAATTCAGTCCAATGAGAGTCGCTCTTCGATTCGTCGCACCAGTCATAGATCCGTCCGTCTTGATTTTCAGGATATTTTTTCTTCTCCACCTTCCTTCGGTTCGGTCGAATCGTGTGGTTCGCCAGTGTGTGCTGCGCTGCCTCGAGTCTTGCGACGACGCATCGATTCCGAGATCGGAATTTTACAAACCGGTCGGACCGCGCGCGAATACGAGCAACCACGAACGAACATCGTGCTTAGAGAAAGTGTCAGCTAGTGCGAGCAAGAGTGGATCGTTCGAACGGATAAGATCGATCGATCGTATCGTTCTCCGCGACTATCGTATCAGAGCTATCCTGGTCTACGAGAAACCCGAACGTTCTCCGTTTTAGCCAAGAAAAATACTTTGACTCTACGTTAAGAAGGATACGCTTGACGGAGAGAACATGTTTCGTACCAGTCGCAACGCGAACCGGTTGCGCGTGCTTAAAATAGTTACCCGTGCATAGGTTACCGCTCTACCCACCGCTCACTCGTTGGAATACGTTTCAGGACTGTCAGGTAAAGACGTACCGGCGAATTTAAGTTTCTACGGATGATCTGCGGGAAAATCGGAAATCGGAGCTAAAGCTCGACCGTAATCGCGCCTCCGTTGTCCCATAGCGGTCGTAAAAGCTTGGCGCCATAGATCTAGTCGCAGTAACTGCGATTCGAATTCTTCTTTCGACCCATCTATCATCTGGCAAACGTTGTCGAGTCGATCTCGCTGCGTTCGCGGCATTCTATAAAATTAGCGAGACGTTTCATCCAACGAGTATGTCCAATTCTGGTATCTTTCGTTGCCACGCGATATCGGATTCTTGCGAAACGTTTATCTTGGCCGCGTGTACGCATTTTATAGTCGGCCATTTCACGATCGATCGAGTCCCCCTTTTCTATTGCTTCTTAGAACGAGGAAGAGGCGACAGGTTAAAATCGCGGATACAAACGAACCAGTCTCTGCAACGGGCAGATGCCACTTCTCTTCCAGTTGAACCAACCGAACGTTTTATCCGCGAACGCAACGATCTCGAACAAGCAAAGACGAAATCTTTTCGAAAAAGCAGCGACGAAATCTTCTCAAATCGTTACTCGCTCCGTTGGAAATTGTACCGTCAGCCACGAAAATGTTCTACTCGTCGCGTTTTCAACGGAAGTACTTTCGATACATCGTACTTGGAGAATACAAAAAAGTGCATTCCTTTCTAGAAATACTCGCGCAGTTTGAATCAATTGTTGACGCATCCGTATGCCGTTCGTCGCTTCTTATTGGACACGCGTTTTCGCGGCAGCGACAACAGCAGACAAGTCAAAGAACTGCATAAAGAAAGAGACGAATAACGAAAGAAGAAGGAAAGGAAAGGAAGATTTTTGCTGCGACATACGCGACGGTTCTCGTGTAACATTTTTCAGCATGGAAAAGGATACGAGGCTAGATAGGAATAAATAGAAATTCGAATGGCGATGCGAACGTAGGTAGATGCCACGATACCTTCCACGAAGGCGATTGCCGTTTGTTATTGAAGTTATTCCATTGCCTCCGGCCAGAACAAGGCGAGGCTGTAAGCACGTCTGTCCCTGGATGACGAACGTTTACATTTCAATACAGTTGGAATTTTTCTAAAACCGTTCAGTCTCTAGTCGCGATGCGCGCGGTGCCTCCATCGTGATTCCTTCGTTGCATAGGACATCCGCGGCATTTCAATTAGCCACTTCGACGAATAAAAATTGCAGTCGTTTCTCCACGGTTCGTCGGTATATTTGCGATCGAGCAAACGCATCTTTTGAACGAACGCTTTCTTTTCCAGGACCAAGTTCCTACGCGAAAGATCGTCAAACGCTACTCACGTTCTTGCATCTCGATGTCTTCTTTCTAACCAGCTCGTTAACTCTTAGATCCTCTTCCTCCGAGCAGTTCGGTCCAACTTCTTAATCGCATTCTCGGCCAGGTAACAAAGCATCGTTTCTTCGCGAGTTAACCGTGGTCCACGGTGCTCGTCGGTTAGCCCAACTTTCCATTACGATAAGCTTTTCCAAATTTCGAAAATGCAAAATATTTACGCACAGTGTGTAATTATCGTGCGCGTTCTGTTGAGCCAAGCTATTACCATCCAGAGAAGATACGTGTTCTAGAAAATAGCTGCTCGTCGTGGAATTTTTCGAAAGATCCGTCTACATCCACCTGTTGCGAGACTCTAGAATCCTTGGCCATGGTTCATTCAGTGGTTCGACCAAGCGGAAAGTAGAGATTTAATGAAGTGGCGCTTGTCGGAGGTGGTGCGGGGTTACACGATCGTGAAGGGGAACGGGCAACAATTACCTGGAGGAAGTCGTCGTAAAACCGATCCTTTCGGTATTCATTTACAGCTGCTACCTTTCCAACATCAAAGTGGGGATCCTACTTGAAAAACGAAGCTTCCACGTCGATCCTGTTAGTCGATTAAAGTTCGTTTCACCAAGACGATCGTTAGCGAAGAATTGTTTTTCCTGTACGTGTCCTTCCTCCCTGGATGATGCTGAAATCGTAATCAAACGTGTACGTAAAGAAAAATGTTACAACGAAGTGTTTAAACTGCAAACGTGTAAATCGCGATACCAGTAGCGTGCTAATGCTCGAATTAAACGTAATTTTTTCCCGTTCGACACGAGATGTAACAGGTTGTTGGAATGGAATTCCTTTCCAATAATAATTCACTTGAAATATCGTAGGACGTGATTATGCGCGATATAAATAGCAATTTAATTGACATGTTCGAAAGCTATAATTATTACGCGTGCAATCATTCCGCATCGAATTATCGGGCATTGCATCTTCACGATCGTGTCTTAGTCACGACCACCTCGTAGATCCCCATTTTGAACGCGAGTCTTCCGTTTTGTCACATACTTTTTCCACCACGCTTTTAACTGTAACTGCACCGATCAGTGAACTGTGTGAAACCTGGCAACGTACAGATAGAACTCGAAGGTACAGTCGATCGACGGGTATTCTCAGAAGATGACGAGGACCGTTCTACAGAGAAGTGGCGGGTTTGGAAAACGCGCGAGATTAAAAATTCGTTCTTTCGGCACACGATCCCCTCTTAATGACATCCTGACTCACGTTCATGAATATTCTTAATAACCTTAATCGAGCTTCATGGTCGTAATCAACGTACTATGCGTTGCTGAAAAGAAGTCCGCTGAGCGAAACGTAGGACCGAATCCCCACCAAACCATCCAGTACGCGATTCACGGTCTACCGTATACTCGATAGCGGACGCGTGTGTTCTTGCTCCTTTGCGATGTTACATCGCTGTTTTAATTGCTTTCGATAACCTCCTGCCAGAAAACCTAGACTCGATACCCCTGTTCCTATCGCTGTATAATTATATAATTATCTTATAAGTCTGACCTCGGCGTATGTTTTATTCTGCACGATCGGCGCAAAGATTTGTCGAGCGTAAAGAAAGAGTTTCGTTTATCGCTGAAACCAGTTGGACCAGTGCGATATTAATGTAACGTTGACGCGTATTTCCTCAGAACACGATGACGAGTTGGAGCAGAACGGTACTCGTCGCTATCATTGCAATCTTACTCCTGGTGGCAATTACCAAATACTCCGAAGCCTGTAACGAAGCGATCTGTGCCAGCGTCGTGAGCAAGTGTATGCTCACGCAAAGCTGCAAGTGCGATCTCGTTACCTGTACCTGTTGCAAGGAATGCTTCTCCTGTCTTAGTTATCTTTACGACGAATGCTGTTCGTGCGTCGGTAAGTAGCCACTCCTATTTTCTACGGTTCGCCGATGTTTCCAAGCTGAAACCGCATCTCTCTCTCTCTTCCTATAGATCTATGCCCGAAACCAAACATCACGGACAATCCGTTGAGCAAGAAGTCTCATGTGGAGGACTTTACGGAACCGGTGCCAGGTCTGTTCCAAGCGCTGACCGCAGAACCGGATCCGCACAAACGCTGGCTCACGTTCACGTTTCCGGTGGATTTTGATATGTCTCTGTTTACACCAAAGCACGAAAAAGAAATGAAATACCATATGCGTATGTATTATATATTATCTCGAATCTATCTATCTTCTAACGATGTTCTCCTTTTCGATGAAACTTGATGCTTTTCCAGAAACTGCCGACGAAGAGGTGCATCCGTTGAAACCAAACGTAATGACGGTCAATTGCACCGTTGCGTTTATAGCTCAGTGTAACTCCTGGAACAAGTGTCAGGCGTCTTGTCAAAGTATGGGTGCTACCAGTTATAGATGGTTCCACGACGGTTGTTGCGAATGTATAGGAGACACCTGTATCAATTATGGGATCAACGAATCGAGATGTATACACTGTCCGCTGGACAAAGAAGAGGACGATTTGAAGGATCAATATGACGATTATGGTCAAGACGAAGACGATTTGGCGGAAGTCGAGATCGATTAACGTCATCGGCTTCCTTTCCGACTTCATGTACGTTTCTTCGAGTGGATTGTATTAAAGTTGTGTCAAGGGTGAGTGCAATCCCGGTGACGATACTTGACCATCAGGAATTGAATTGCAAATAGTGACGTCGTTTGTACTTGTTCGTGATATTTATCGATTTGACCATATTCGTGTGCAGAAACTATGTGGCTTCCGGAATGACCTTTTAAAAATATACGAGTGATGAACTTGGTTCCCTTCAAAAGGGATTCGGTCGGTAGGAAATGTAATATAAATCATTACGGTCATTAAGGCTGAAAGCTATTGACTGTCAACTCATTTAATGCTATCGCGTTTCGGTTTAACTAAGTAAACGCACAAATGACAGCTAAATTTAATGACGGTTTGAACTAACTGGTTTATAGTGTCACTTCAATGGCATAGCACGTTGAAGTCATTGCTCGTTATCAAGTGTTAAATATGTATGTAAGCAGCCCTGTGGTGTTAAATGTTTTATTTTTTTGTGCCATATGAATCAACTTGTACATGTATCAACTCATTCATAATGAATTGACGTAATCATGACGCGTCGGTTATATTGTTCAGATAAATACCATTGTCCGTGTTTCTCTGATGTTTACTCTTTTACCTGATTGGACGAATATTACGAGAATAAGAACTCTTTCAATTGCACGATATAAACGAAATGATACAAGTACGCGCTTTAGAGGAACACGGACAATTTGTACGATTGATAATGTGCACACGTGAATAATCAAGTCGGAAGAAGTGTAATTTATATGATATGGTTTAATACTGCACTTGGTTATGCCAATGCATAATATTAAGACAATATGCAGGATCGAGTAGGAAAATGTTCAGGTTTTTAATTTTCAATTCATGCGGTTATATGTAATATAAATAACAACATTAGCATAATATTGATACTGAAAATTGCAAATTCCATTAAAGCTTTATCATTATTGAACTAAGAGTGGAACTCGGGAACAAAATTCCATCAGAAAAATATCAATGAGCACTTTTCCCCTGAAAATTATTAATAGACTAGAGAGAGGAAGCGGAGCCAATATCAAATAATCACCCATCGATAAACTAGCGCAGACAATCAAAAATCTTACAATCATTTTTCATAAATAACTCTATTTTGAAGTATATTCCATTCTTTGAACGATTATGTACCGATTTATCGCGAAATATATTGTATAAACACACTCATTCAACTCTACCTTGTTATATTGAACATCAATAATCGCGTTTTACGCGTGTTTTTAACGATCACTTATATTAATTCATATACGCACTATTAACGTGGCGTTGTAAACGCACGTTTATAAATATAATAAAACGAACGATTTTGATCGCCGTTATTAATGAACGATGACAACATTCGAAAAAAAAAACATAAAATTTGTTTGCCGACACCATGTATTTATACGGGCGGATGTTCGTCTTGCGTTTCATTGCTTTCTGGCAATTTAATGAAAGGCAAATCGCTGCCGCTCCACATTGAATACAATTGAGATCTCGCGCATTCCTGAAATTATTAATGTTAATAAATGTAATATAAATACACGATAATCATTCATAAATTGAAGTTAATATATAAAAACCGCGAATAATAATAATAACACTAATTATTTTAAACTATAATTATGCATTACCCCACCACCAGCGCTCTCGGAACCTGAACGACTATGGGCTGATATGCAAGAATCTGTCGAAGAACTGCTTTTACGCGACGGTAATACATCTACAGTACCTAATGAGAAAGTCAAACGTTACATGTGATTGACTTTGTTCATTATGTTTAATTTGTATACTCACCAAGTTCGACTTCTCTATGATCACTATGCGAATGAATGCTATCTTTGCTGTCCCCGTGACTACCACTAGTTCCACTTTGTTCTACGCAGTGTAATAAATAACTTATTGCAATAATAGTGAACGAATATATTTTAATATACAAGGTGGGCCAATAACTCTGATCACCTTGAATATCTGTGCTATTGTATAAGATATGGAGACTACGAACAATTATAGAGCCCCTTTATACCACACAAGTTCCATATGAAAAGGTTCTCCATATCTTAAAAAATAACAAAGATATTCAAGACAGTCAAAGTTATTGGTCTACCCTATATATTAAACTGTACCCGAATCTCTGTGTTCTCCACTATGTGCACTCTGATCGCTTTCGCGTTGTCCTGATTGATCAGAATGATCGCTTGAATGAGAATCTTGCGGCCAACACCTTGAAGTGCCTACTTTGCGAGATCCTGGCCAAGCAGTCGAGTCATAATTTGACTCAAAATTGCACGTTGTTAATGTAACACCCGGGATATGTTGATTCGTATAGGCAGACAACTGATTTAGAGGTCTAACTCCTATGCAGATAATAAAACAATTTGATATGTAATAAGTTTGATATATAGCAATCGTTATTATAATAAATAATTTTAATAAATAACGTTTGCACTTTTTCTTAGACGCACCTGGTTTACAAGATAACAGTTGAATCGCTTCTTGCAAACCATCTTGACTAGCCATGGCAGATGTTTTCCAAATTGTGTCTGGTGTAGTAGACCTACTTCTATCTTGATGAGGAACCCTCAATCGTGATCTAACATCTTGCCGCGGCCAGTCTGTGATATTTCTACAATCCCATGGCATAGACCACCTTCTCATTGTATTCTCTGATACTTCACCCGACATTTCCGCTGCTGCGGTTTCAGACCATCTTCTCTGAACCTTTTATAAGAAAATTGCGATAAGACTGTAAAATATAAAAAAAAAATTTTTACAGAAGATGTAGAATTACCTGCAGAGAAAATAATGGATATGGTAGGGGTGATCTATGACAATTTTGTACAGGTTGTTGTGTTGTCGATGAAGATACTAATGGTGGTGAACTATACAGTCTTTCGAAACATTGTTGAAGAGAGGCAATGTCACATTCAGCTGCCCCACTTTGAGAACAGGAACATTCTGCCATTCCACCTAAGAGAATCATTTCATAAATTGTAATCAAGAAAAAATAACATTGAATTAAAATTAATTTTAATTCTCACCTAGACATTCCCAACAGGCAACACAGAACTGATACTGTAGATTTATGAATGTCAACAGATTATCTCTAAGTATATCCTGAAAGTCCATGTAATATATGCATTTAATATAAAAAATGGCCAAACGCTATGTCCCTAAGTCTATAATTTAGTTCAAAGTAATTATATACATGCTTATCTCCTTCATTTTCTCGTGTCTCATGATCCCTTAATGCAGAGATAATATGATTCTTTACAGTATTGCTGGTTATATATGTTGCTCTTGTAAGCTCTTCCCAACCAGCAAGACATTGCCCTGTTAATCGGCATTGTGCTAATGTATCATGAGCAGATAAAAGTGTTTGTAATGATTGAGCCAACTTTGTACCCGCTGTGCATAAGCCATTGAGCGTCTGTATTAAAAGAAGTAATTTGCTTTTGCATACTTTGACATAAATACCATAGCAAATACACAAACCTGTAAGTACACTAGCCAATTACCAAGACACTCGTTCACCTCCAATTGAAGTTTAGATACTTGATTGTCATTGGGCTTTGGTTCTGTTCCGCCTTCTGCCATACTTACACTTAAATCTTGGATTTTATAACAAGTTTAGTCACCTATTGGTTTAACAAAATATAAAATCTGTGGCTTTACTTCTGTTACAGAAGGTTACCTAAATACTAAAACTAATATCTGAATCATAAAGGGTATCCGAAATAGAGTAATTAATTAACAGAAAATAAAGCAGAGTAATAATAAATACAACAAAAAATAATGTTTTCAAATACGAATGTTGTACTAATAAATAAAATTTTGAGAATTAAAAATAACAAGTTTCTAACTGAAAGTTTCATAAATCGATCGCTTACATGATTTTTTTTGTCATACGGTGTATTCTCAATAGTAGATTAGTAGAAGAAATAGAAATCACAGACTTGGCGTTGGTATTGAAGCACAATTACCGGCACCATTGCGGCTCGCTCGTGCATACTTCAGCACTCAAATTTAACAATGTAAAAACCGAAATGAATCCCGTGCATACGATTACTTTCATCTGTAGTTGTATTTTACAACAAGACGTTTAATACGAAATGTCTTGACCAGATGCCGCCATTTGTACTCGTTCTGTACGAAGAGTCGAACAACCTCTTTAAACCTACTGAATTCAGTGACGCGCAACCTATGTTTCAAATTTTCTAAGGGAAAGTTTAAATTATATTTTTAATAGTATTTTATGATTCTTGTTATCCTTTCTATTATTTCTTTACGTTGTGTGTTTACACAAAAGGTAATATACTTACAGAGTTCTTTGAATATAAGAAGAATTGCAAATAAAATGTAGAATTTATGTACCATTATTATAAAATATTTGAGAGAATATAGTAATATTTAAACAGTAATCGATAATTATGAACACAAAATAAAAATTATCATTGGCAACGATACAAAGGAGATTCTATTATAATCAATTACGACATTAACTGAAAAAATTTTTGGGCACCACTGTTCTAGACCAAACTTGGTTCAACTGGGTCTGAATAGACAGTAGCTTGCTTTTAATACACTTTCTATATATGTTTTTACTCTGTTACTGTTAATTTAAAAATTTTGAAAGTACATTATGGGAAGAAAACGAACTTTACACGATACGAGAAATCCATTTATCGTCGATTTTTTTTTCATAATGAAAACCAATTAAGCAAATTATCAAAACACAAGTAAAAGAATGAAACAAGGTTTACAGCATCTTGATTAATCACATGAATTAAATATATGTGTTTCCTCGCAAAAACGTCTCTTTTATAAGAAAAGTCGAAGCACCGGCAAGCATTGTACTTAAGAATTTAATCATATGGATTAGGTTCACACAAATTTTTGTAAAGTCGATTGACCATCATCCTAGTGGTCAATCGAATTATTATGTCTTACGTTTATTTGAGAAATCGAGAGAAGACACGAGGCTTGGCGAGGTGAAAGGGGCCCGAGCGCATGGTGACGTACAGCGTTGATAAAAAAAGAGAAGGATAGAGCAATGGGTTGGAAGGAAGGTGAAAGAAGGAAAGAAAGAGGTGAGAAAGGTTGAAAGGAGAGAAGCCGCTCGGAGTAGAAACGCGATCGCGCGCGAGGGACATTATGGCTTAGGTGGGGAGAGTGATGTGGTAAGAAGGATAGAAGGGAGGGGCTTAACGGTAAAGTCGGTGTAACCTTATAGCAGTGTTTTTCAATCCTTTTTTCCTTACTATCACCCTGATGCTTGAATACCCTTTTGCGGTGTCCCTATCTTCACAATGGGGTGTTTCTTAATGTATGGGAACGACTACTGCGATAATTAAAGAACCTGGAAACAATGTAGTCCATATAAACGTTTGTCCAAGAATACATTGTTTCGGACTCGTAAATCTTTTGTTTCCTTACTTTTAAAAGAAACATTCATTACAGACAAATGACTGTTCTTAAATTGGATATACTCTAAACTGTGTTATGTTATTTTTGGTTCCTCATTCTATAGTAACGTTTCATGGGCAATTACCGTGTAGAAATTAAAAGGAGAAAAGTAGGAAAAGGGGAAAATAACAGTTGATCATAATACTTGTAAGTCTTTATATAACAATGCAATAATTTAGGCAGTAATTAATTAATAGAAAGGAAACGAATCATTGGTATTTATTTTTTTAGGTACAATGGACAAAAATAAGGATGGAAAGCAACGATTTGTAACGAGTTCCGGACCCATTTCATAGTTACTGATCCCGAACGAATTATGTATTAGAATGTAGGCAGTTAACGTAAAATTATTCCTGCTTATAATTCAAATAATCATATGTGCATACAATACAATCGGTTTTAGTTATGCAATTTTATCGAAATGATATAAGAAAATGTTGCTTTGCAATTTAATATCAATTTCGCCCATCACAATACGATTACAACGTGTCGATTGCATACGCGTTAGCTACGCACAAGGAAGCAATTACTTTTAAATCAATCGTTACTCCTGTGGAACTATTCCATTAATGTACAACTTCTGTAATCGTGTGCAAGTAAAAGTTGTTGTAGCTGCCTGATCGTGCCCTGGTTGTTTTACCTTGGGAATGTTACGGGTATGAATATGTACAAGTACATAGTTTATTAAAAATGCGTAGCATTCGCAGGCAAGCTGGTAATCTTCTCCATCTTAAAACATAGACAACACCGGACAGTTGAGTCGGGACAGGGACAATGCAATTTTTGCTGGAGATCGCGTAATATGATCACTCGTCGAATAATTCACTTTCATAAAACAGAGAATGCAACACGGGAATGACTGAGAAATTGTATGCGAATATGGAATTTAAATTTGACCACTGTAATTCATTGCATACTTGTGTAATAAAAATAACGATGAAAGACACAAGCATAGTAACTAGTCGTTAGAGATAAAGTACCAAAGATAAGCATGAAAAGAACTATTTATGTAAGATATAGAGTTCCAACTTTGAATAGCGTTTAACTGTACACCATGCGAGAAGAGCAATGACAGGAAAACAGCGGTGGTCTAAGTTATTCTTGTTATCGATTGCATGGCGAAAAGTTGAGAAGAACGTAGTCGAACATAGGCTCCCTCATAATAGCCAGTTGGATGCACGGTACATGCAGCACGGTACACCGTACTTTCATAATGTCGAAGGAGTACAAGAGACTCGAGGCCTCTGGCACTCGACGGACGGCTAGTGAAGGGAACGGATCGTCATACTCGGTCGACACTCGACCAAACGGTCAGCGAAAATGCCGTCCGAAAGTCGCGTTTAACGTCTTCGGCAAAAGGTGAACTAAATTAGCCGCGAATGAACCTAAGCCGCAGTGATTTACAAGTCATACTGCTTTAACGCAATCGTTGGAGGGACGTTTTCCCGCCCCGTATGGGCAACTGAAGAAACGACATTGATGCCAAAAATCATGAAGAATCGGAAGCAATATCACGATAGAATATGGATTACGACGATTAATTCCGCATAGTGCGAGTAACGGTCAAATGAAGTTAACGAAACCATGAAAGGACGATCATTTGATCTGTCGATCGCATACGGTGACTAAAAACTTGCTCGCTGAACGGTGAAACAAGAAGACCCTTCTGAATCACCTTTGACTCATACTTCGTCGCGAATTCGTTAGTAATACTTTAGTTTAGTTTTCGACTTCAGGAACAAAAATATTTTGTTGTCGAAACAAGTTTTCATCGGTGCCACGCATCGAACAAAGAAACTTCTTGTGAAAGTTTCCGTGGTGCACGATAAAGTGTTCTCTGGTAGCGGATACGCGCTCTTGTGGATGATCGCGACCAAAGTTAGTGTACTTTCGATGTGATCCCGCCTTTCGACCACCAACAGAAAACGATATATCGAGGATGGGACGAGAGATTCTCCTATCCCTTTTGGGAATCCTCGTCGTGGGCGCAGAAGGCATGTATTTTTAAGCCATATTTTCAACAAATTAACAACTCGAATAATCAACGGTCTAATAGTAGCTCCATCTGCTAAAGATTATTCTTTATTTTGACTGAGGATTTTGAATTCAAAGCGAAACGTTACTTTGAAATGATGTTGATTTTGCTTTGACTAGGAAAAGATACGTCTTATAGTAGAACAATGCGATATATTTTACAACAGCGTAACGCGATACATCTTAGCGCTCCTTGTACCACGGCGTCAATACCGTGAATGAAAGGAGAGGAGCAATCAGCACGAAATTTGAAATCCAGTGCCGCTTATACAAATATCATTTATAATTTCTATTCGTTCTCGAGGTTTTGTCCCTGGCACTAAGGAAAGGAATACAAGCGTACAAAACAGGTACCGCCCACCTCGATTCTCGTCCACGCGGATTTTCTGGTGTCTCGAGGTCACCCGGTGTATCCGCTTCAAATAAAACGCACAGGTTCCTGTCGCTTTGTGTTTTGTTTTCTCGAATCCTTGTGAATTCCATTCAGATTTTTCATCTTTTCCAAGAAAAGAGAAGTCACGTGTTATGACGGTTATTTTTGACCAAGGATTATTATTGATAAAAATAGTATGCGTTGGTCCCACCTTGAAACTCTTCGTCCCAAGAGCAACTACCATTCGCAAAATCAACGGACCATTTAAAAACATTCATCGGATAAGCTACCCGGAAGTGGGGTGAATTTGCATTCGGTTTTCCTGTCTGTCGTATCCTGTACGAATTTCGATCGTTTCATATTTCAATTTTCTACTCTCCACGACTGGTCTTTCATTTTATTCGTTCAGCTTTAATTTAAATAAAACTAGTCGCGCAACGTAGGAAACAGGACTCGCTGTGGACGCAGTCAATCGAAGCGAGTTTTGCCTTTTGTAACTCTTATTCTCCTAGCTGACCTACATGAAATATCTTGGTAGACGTTATACCTCTGACGTGCTTATGTTAACGATCCTATAATTTCGCCTTGCATGTCGATTTTTAACAGACGACCTATGGTGCACCATTAGCTTTATTAGGAACACGTGCACCAACAACGATCACTTCCTTGATAGGGTTAGTCTTTTTTTACTCGGCGTCAGACGTTCCAGACACTTTCGATCCTAAATTATAGTCAAACGAATTAGATGTGACGCATTAATAATAATTTACTAAATGTAGAGCGGTGCGTTTTACGTCATCGACACGTAAACCACAGACCTTTTCGTCGCGGGTAACGCTCACCTGAACTTTCATTTGCACTAGCAAAAACGCGTAGGAAGGACGTGTCTTTGATGGAAGCATAATTACAGCTTGAATGTAGCACCTTCGACAACGATGATTATTTTAGCGCTGACTTTGACACACCTTAAGGATATTTTCTTCGCTCTGTATTTACGTATTTCCTTATCGAAACATTTTCCGATTTAAAATTCCTTTATGCCTTAAAAATCTGCAATTAAGACAAAACATGCTACAGAGACTATATTGAACTTCTTGAGGTTACCTTTCCCATAGTTACTTCATAAATAGAATGGTTTGCAAATTGATTGGTATAGGTTATGGTAGATATAAGCAAGTCCAGTTCGCACGCCTCTGACCGATCCAATTCCATAGACTCGTGGAAATCATTGGGGATAAAAGGCTAGGGTAATACGTTGATTCGCAGAGGAGTGAACCAGTGGTTAATGTAATACGTCGAAGCTCGTGCCGAGGTGGGGAAGTAAAAGCGTCCTCGAGATTCTAGGTGAACGCTTTTCTTTCATTCTCGCGAAAGAGGAAGCGTGTCGAACGCCATGGACTTGCACGACTCTCGTTTCCATCGAGCTAAGCTGAGACCGTCGTAACATTTAGCTCTCGACGGTTCGGCTAGACTGAAAAGCACGCAAAACTCGCGATAACTTACGCTACGATAAACGCACCTCGTTGGGTGGGGCAGCATGCTTCGATGGCCGATACAGGTGAAATTTCAGGCGACAATAAATCGCTTCCTCCGTCGCGTAATCAACATGCACGACGGATCGTGAATATTTTGGTCGTGGTCGCGTGTGCGAAACGAGATTCCTACACTCTACACCAATTACACAATCACTGACATTAACGTTTCTAGAACATTCTTCGTAAGGTCGCGTCGCGTTTAGAAATTTTGAATTATTTCATATTCGTAACCGGGCAAACGTTAGCGAAGCAACCGTTGGAAAGTGTATACGTATACTGTCTACAATGAAGTTTCCATTTCCTGACTCGACGCAAGGTGTCGCAAGTCACCGTCGATCTCGATGACACATGCGCCACGTGCTTCGATATTTTGTACAATAGGTTAGGAAACTCGCGAAAAAGAACTTTCTACCATTCTCCATCGATAAGTCGAATAATCGATATTTTCTCGCGACAATATCGATCGATCACGAGTTGGAAGTTCTTAGTGTTACGAATTCTGTGGCGATTGGCTCTCATCGTCTGTTACTTCCAGTGGATCTTTCTTCGTAGAACCGAATAACGACGTTAACCGGTTTCCCGATGCCCTACTGTTACCCTCCAGGCAGTTGTAAAATTCGCTCTCGGTATGTCCCGTTTACGTAAACGCGATAACACGTAATATCCAGCATTATGATTACGTGCTTTTGCCTTTTTTTTCGATCGTGCCATAAATCGTGAGTGCATCGAAGAAAAGATTGCGTTGTCGATTTCGTGCGTGTTGAGTTTGGATTGTGAAAATAAATTATATTCGGCAAATCGCAACTATTACCGATCATCGGTAGGAAAAATTGGGATGTAAGGTAAATTAATTTGCTGAAAGAATTCGTACCAAATCGGTCTTTCAATAACGTTGGTTTTATCCTTGACGATCGATCTCTCTTTTTTTTTCGTTAGATAGATCGCAAACAGGCACGCCCACTTTCCAATTTCCTGACAATCGCTTTTGTACGTGCAACGTTATACGGATACATTCGTGCTATGCAGTTATGATCTGTTATTCGTGTTCTCTTACGGTCTATGGTCATCGATGCAATTATTGCAAAAGATACGTGTCAGACGAGTCATTTTCTTTTCTCTGCTTCGTGGTGGTCTAATACTACCGGACAGCCATTTGTAAGTAAAGAAATACGTTTTTATCCACGAGATTAGTAAAGATAAAGTTGGTCTTCGTGTTCCGAGAAAACTAATGGCGATAATATTATTTTTATTGCAGCATAAAAAGCAAATAATATGATGAAATAGGAAAGCGATGTATAAGGAGAGAAAGTAGCAGTAAAGTTTGAAATTAATACTAGACCAAAGGTATAAGACACGATTGCCAAGGTGTAGTTTCATTTTTTGAAACTGCAAAGAAGGCAAATAGGACGTTGGAAATGTTAAATGTTGCAAAAACAGATTTATCGAGGACTTGAAAGGAAGTATGGCGGGGGTCGTAAAATGGAAAAGAGCGATCATCGTTAATAGAGAATACATTGAACTGTATTTTCGTTGAATCTCCGATCCATCCAAATAGAGATAAAGGAAAATAGCGATAAACCGAGAACTGTACCGTGACACGCTTCACCGGTAGTAGTCTCGATTCGAAGTAACTCCATGTCGTACCGTTATTTTGGCTTCAAAGTTTTGTAACCGCGTGACCCAGACCCATGAAGCGATCAACGAATGCCAAAGACCAGGCTAAAGCTAGCAACGTGCTTACACGTACTCACGCAGACAATTAACTGGGAATTCTTGACCTCTTCGTCTCTTCGAGATCTGGATTCTGCTTGACTCCTTCCCAGAATTCGACTAATTCACAGTTACATTAAAAAAGAGAAAGAAAAAGAAAAAAAAAAACAGGGACATTACTGAATTATACCGGAATGCATCGTAGAAAAAGTGATTATATTAGTTAGCGTCATCGTGTCGTGAGATTTCCTTTCTAATTGTGCATTAAATTTAACGGTTCTTGAATCTTTGAATTTAACGACTCTTTTCAAACATTTGAATTTAACGGTTTTTTCGAGTATTTAAATATAACGGCTTTTTCATGTATTTGAATTTGACTCGTAGATTAACGGTTTTCTTCACGCACCGTGATCAGCCTAGTGGAAGCAGAGAACACTGGTCAAAAGAAATTGGCACGTATCATGGTGTTAGAAATTCGATCTTTATTGTTAATAATGTTTCTAGCCGACTAATTGAGAAGTTTAGGCTCGAATCACGGTGAAATGACTTTAATTACATAGAAAGTGAGCAGCGGAAGAAGCGGTTCAACACACTCCAAAGAGACGCGTTTCGAATCGAAATAATCGCGGACCGTTGCACGCGCGAACGCGTTTGTACTCGCTTTAATTAACTCGTTCGCACGAAACGGTAACTCGGTGTCTCATGAGAAACACCGCCTTCCCGAGAGTTCGAACCGAATAAAGGAGACAACGCTGGCTTTCACTCCGCAATCGAGTACGCGCAAATTCAAATTCAAATTAACGGATTCTCACAGGCAGCCGATTGAAAAGAATTAACGGCACAAAGGCGAGGAAATTGTAAATTAGGATCGCGAAGATCCTCGCCTCGAAAATCTAAGGCCATCTCTCACGATCGGCCTTGAAATATCACCGGAAACTTATTCCGTGAGTCGCACGACTGCGCTCCTCTAATCACTTTGCGATTGTATCGCCTGTACACGCGATTATTCGCGATGTTTACGTTATCATCCTTGCCTATTTCCATCTCGCAGTTGTTACGATCCAACAGACTTATCGGTCATGAATATGCATTCGCATTTGTGTACAGCGGTGCGCATCTGCGGTCAAATGTGACCGCGGGACATAATTTTAAAGGATTTTCATTTTTATATCCGCAGAACCGGCTAGTTTCTGTTCCACGCATTTTTCATCGACTGTGCGAGTTAAAGTCACGGCGGCATAAAATACAGACAAGAGTAAATTAAGCGATAGGTGACGATAAACATTCGTACACCGTTTTCTTCCTAACTCCACTCTAGATGGATCGAAAGAACTAACTGGAGGAAACGCGAAAGATAGAGGTGAATAGAAACTTTTTGTTGCCGTAACGAGCTTTTGCCGTTTCTATCTCGACGAGAGTATTCTACGGCAAATTATAAGGCGCACTTACTCGTATATGCACGTCGATTTCGATCGACTTCTAACCGCTAGGCTTTTCACTGCAAGAAAACGTTTCTCAGGCTGCATACGGTCTCGTCGATACTTGTTCCCCGCATTTCGAGCCATCCATAATTTTATAGCATTATATCTGTTTTATGCCCGACCTACTAATTTGCAACTTTTGTAAACGACAGAAAATCTTCCGTGCATTTTCACGACACATAGAATTCGAATAATCGTACGCGTGGGACTTTGACCAAGGTTTCCTCTGTGTCTGGTGTCGCAGCTATTGTTTGATTTATTTTGAAAGTAAAGTACGAACGAGTACCATATAAACTTGATCGTTACACGGAATGACATTTGAGTCCTTGACATCACCTGCCGGGTTGACGACAGGCATATCCTTACGTAACGAAAATCACGATAAGTCAAATGGGAAAGTAAACCGCGTTAATTGACGTGTAATCGGAATTCTATTCACAATCGCGCGACATCTGAACCGAAGATATTCGAGGTTTCCATTTGTATTCCAACTATTTCTTTAATTTTATTACACGCTTAATATCCCACCATGATTATGGTCGGTGTCTCTGCTAATCCTGTCTGACAGAAAGTTCACCGTAATAGGCACGAAAGTTTCTGATCGGCAAAAATTCTCGAACGTTTTCTTCTTTAATACAGAGGCGGTACTTTGCAAGCGGGGAAAGATTGCAATTTCGTTTGAGAAGTGATCATTAAATTCCTATCTTTCTTGGAAACTACGCCGTGGACCGTAAATAACAGCGCTGAAATTAAAACTGTGGCTTTATCGGTTCGGAGCTGTGAACTTTCTACTAAATATTTAACACAGCCGTGAAATACCCGTATGAGGATCGCAGAAATGGGTTAATTTGTTACCGATGGAAGGTCGCGTTTAAAAGCTGCAACGTTACCGAACTATGTAATTTTCTTTGATGCAGGATTGAAGTGCGGGCATCCGGCTGTACCGATGAATGCCAAGGTGTCATTGTCCGACGAATCCTTAGCAACAGGCACTTTGGCGACGTACACTTGCGACGCCGGATACGAATTGTTCGGGTAAGTAGCGTTTTAAAAGTATTCGTGCTTTGCGGAATGTTAAACACCGAGCTCGTCTAACTGCGCACATTTTTTAGAGGAAAGTAAACAATGCATGACAAGCGAAACATAATGGAACGAGGTTGAAGAAGAAGCTAGCGTCAGAATGACATCGGTTTCGTGCGTTTTTTGCTTCGTTCGCGACACATGCGAATGTGCTCGAGTTTCAACCGAGCGAAACGACCGTTTGCAGAAAACGACAACCGTCGATAGCATCGCTTATTACGGACTTTCTCCGTTTTCTTATAATCCGTATGGTTGACGATATTTGCTCGCGTGTTCCGTTCACTTGTCCTGCACTGTTTACACGAAGTAGCGAATTTCCATTACTTCATTCGACTGTTACTTGTTGCTCAGCAGTGGCAGCTTAACGTGCAACGCTCGAGGAAAATGGCAAGGGGATCTACCATTTTGCGGTAAGCATTCATTCCTCGATCAAATTTATCTCTGTCCTCGCGAATCTCGTCGCTTATAAAGAGAGTGCGAGTCCTTCGGGTCACCGATTTAGTTGAAACTTTGCAGGTTTGTAGATATCGTCTTGCACTTTTAGAAAATATATCATTATAGTCGCAACTACGTAGTAATTTTTGAGATATTTGCGATTAAAGTTTTATCACTTCCTTAATTATGCATTTATTTTCATAATGATACAAGTTAAGTTGTAGCGTAACGGCGACGACCGAGAATTGGTATGCTGGAGGACCGGGGTTCGATTCCCGTACATAGTTTTTCAATTTATTAGTAATTTTTGAGATATTTGCGATTAAAGTTTTATCACTACCTTAATTATGCATTTATTTTCATAATCATACAAGTTAAGTTGTAGCGTAACGGCGACAACCGAGAGTTGGTATGCTGGAGGACCGGGGTTCGATTCCCGTACATAGTTTTTCAATTTATTTTTTATTTTATATTCATTTTCCAACTATGAAAACATTGTAAATACACAATTATAAATAAAATTTCTTAATAAAAAAAATTATTTATTACGCTTTCTTATGGTAGTATATATTTATTTATTACAAAATAATAAGAATATTATGCAAGAAAAATACTTTTCCATAGCAATCTTATTTACTACAGGAAGTACAAAACCTATCGCTCATGTAAGTAATAATTATTAAATTAAACATCCTATAAGAATGTTGCCTATAATTCCAGCTTTGCTGTGCAACCACAAATGTTCATGAATTAATTACAAAAACTTGGAAATTTATTCATTTTCTACTGCCAAATTGATTTATTAATTACGATTTATTAATGTTAAATTTTTATCGTCTATTAAAATGAAAAATTGTACTGCCTGCGCCATCTATGATTTTGGACCCGAAGCTCAGAAAGTAATAGGAATATAGAATAGGCGAGGAGGTCGTCGAAGAGCATGTCACGTGACAGACAAGGACAGAGAGGGATAGAAAAGGATAGAATGGCTCCGGCAGTGAAAAATTATTAATTACTCAATTTCTGTAATTAATTTATGAACTTTTATAATTTCATTGCAAAGCTGGAACTTCAGGCTACATTCTTATATAATATTCGTAAAGAATTTAACTCTAAATTGTTAGTTATTAATTTTTGTTTTATGGCGTCTATGATTTCGTAACGACGGCCATCACGATCTTCCGTGAATATATTTAATACTCACCGAAACTAGAAACAAAATGTGAACAAAAGTGATATGAGAAGATTCGTAAGAACATTGTTTTTATAATGAGTGCATAAAGTTTCATAAATTAATTGCGTAAAGGATAGTAATTAATGAAAAACCAATGGCGTCTTCGACCATCTTCGACAACAATTTAAACACTGCGTAGGACAATTAATAATAATTAATTAATTGGGGACAAATCTATATCGAAAAATATATTGGAAAGTTCTTAAAGGATCTGCCTTTATCATGGAATTATAAAAGTTCATAAATTGTTCACAGATATTGAGTAATTAATGAATTTTCCACTGCCGATTTGATTTATTAAAATATATACGGAGCACATAACCAGAGTTAGTAAACTGA